ACAGTGAAGCCATATGCCAGATTAATGTGGTTTCAAATGTCAGAACTTCGGACATTTCATTATTCATGAAGAACTTTACTATGAACTAGACCTATATTTCCTTTGCTCACAATTGATTTCATTTAAAATGAAGTGAGGATATGTTAAAGTGCCAAGCCTATAAGACTGTGTTAATGCCTTCCACTACATTAGGTTCATGAGGTTATAAATTTTATGTAATACCAACCACAATGGAGTCTGTACCATTTCGGTCAACATCGTTTGCAAGATTGATGTGAAACAACAAAACGGAAAGTTCAACTTAAGAAACAATAAAAGAAGCCTGATAACTAAATTCAAAACACTTAGCTATCACAATACTCATGACATAGAAAGAAATGACTGACTGCCTCTTGTTGGTAAGCATTATACCAATGAATCATCATGACACATATCGTTTGTGGTCTAATCAGACATGACTGCAATGGAGCAATCAAAGCTGCACATTCATCTCAGTCATTTTACTGAAGTCAAACAAGGCAATAATTACTAATATAATCTGATGATAACCAAATATACTGTATTCATTCATGATACAGGTTTCATTGTATCAGCCTGTTCATACAAGGATTTGGTCTTGAACAGAAAAATAGCATATTATAGGGGTTTCTCCATACTGAGAAGGTCAAAGGCATGCCATATAAATTGCCAGAAGGTTGTGTATTGAACTTTTCACAGGGTCATACTCAACCTCAGCACAACAGTCAATGTTTTGATTCACATTAGTGAGCCCTTTGTAACATTGGTTGAAATCAAAGTGAGTTTACTACAGGAATGACCTCAATGGGTGTCTGTGACATGATAGCAAAAGCCTAATGTGGGAGGGTCTGGGGTGGTGAGAAGAGTGTGTGCAGCCTACATGTAATTGTTACCTTCAGCTGTCATGACTCAGTCTAGGATTAGTACATCAATACCCAGAACATACCTTCACATACAAAAAACTTGTAAACTTCTTAACTGAACATATGTTAAAAATGTCTTACTTTGATCCTTTCCATGTTTAATTTAAAGAATGGGACACCATGAATTTTGATAATGTAGCTGTGCAAGCACAGATACACCAATAAACTCAAGAGATTGGACAGAAAACGATTTGAAGTGCAGTTTATTACAAAATCAGTGACAACTCCATTTGGACTGCATTTCTGTCACTGCATACACATGACATTATTTGGTCATGATTTAGGGACTTCAAATGATGCTACCTTATATAAATCATCTGCCATACTTACCTCATCTTACATATAAGGACTGACTGACTGAATTTGGTTTTACCCCACTTTTAGCAATATTCCAGTAACATCGTGACGGGGAACACCAGAAATGGGCTTCATACATTGTACCCATGTGAGGTTACATAAAAGGAAGGCTAGTGATAACCATGTAGAAGACTGACTGACTGACTGAGTTTGGTTTTACGCCGTTTTTAGCAATATTCCAGCAACATCACGGCCGGGGACACCAGAAATGGGCTTCACACATTGTGCCCATGTGGGGATTCGAACCCGGGTCTTCGGCGTGACGTGCCAACGCTTTAACCATTAGGCTACCCCACCGCCCCCATGTAGAAGACGTCAACTGGGGATAGTAACACGGGTAGGTGACCATTCATCTGAACTAGACTAACCAGTGATTGATGTAATGAGCAGTCATCTGTGCTGTTTGGTTATGTTGATATGCAAAAAATTGAATTAGGAATACCTGTCTACTCAATTACTTAAGTTAAGTTGGCAAAAGTTACTTGGGGAAAAAGTTACTGTTACACAGAGCAGTTAGCAGGTGCCCCTGTAACATATGGAACACTTGAGATAGAACAAATATGGTGAGTGAGTGAGTTTAGATTTACGCTGCTTTTAGCAATGTTCCAGCAATATCATGGCGGCGGACACCAGAAATGGGCTTCACACATTGTACCCATGTGTGGAATCGAACCAGGGACTTCAGCATCAAGAGCGACGCTTTAACCAATAGGCCACCCAACTGCCCCGGAACAAATATGGAACGATGAGAGCAGTTTGTACATATCATTAAAGAGAATTGGACAAGCAGTACATACACATCAACAGCAGTTAGTAGATATCCCATAGAAACTTGAACAATGGCCTTCTGCACACCGAGAGCAGTTGGAAGGTGCCTCTGTTGAATAATGAACAAGGGGCACCTGCATCTTGAGGGCAGATAAAAGGTGCCCTATAGAAAATTCAACAATGGGCACCTGCACAATGAAAGCAGCTGGAAGGTGCCTCTGTTGAATATTGAACAATGGGCACCTGCACATCGAGATCAGTTAGAAGCTGCCACAGTATGGTATTGATCAAGGAGAACCTTCAAAAACCTGTAGGAAACACGAGGTACAATGTAGGCCTACTGTTAATCTAATACACACTTGTAACAGATATTTCACAATGTTACTTTAAAGCAAATCAATCTGTGATATAAATACCAATCTGCCAAGTACTGACAGCAGAACATGATAAGCAGTCACATATCTCAACCAGCTGAAATCATATTCCTGTCCCATCAGAGAAGGTAAGACAATATTTGGTGTAGAATGGTTCCAAATAAAGACTTTACTGTCTAACATGTGTGGTTATACAGGTTTTAACGTTAAATGACTGGTGATGTAAAATCTTCCACTTTGAAGTGAAGACATGTTGATGAATGCTTCACAAAGTACACGCAGCTGAAATTACTCATCAATACTTTCTCACAATATATGGGAACATGTGTGAAATACCCAGCATATAGCTCACAGAAAAACCAACACTCAGGATAATATGCCAGCCATTGTCTTATCTAATATTTTCTTTACATGTGAAGCAGGTGAAGGAAAAATCCAGAATCCTCTCATTAAAATAGAATACAGAAGCCATGTTTCTTGGTTTACATAAGTATAACAAGGTGACATCTGTAACTTGTCCCTTATCCGAGGTAATGCCTCATTATAATATAGGGTTTATATACTGAATAGTTGCTACTATTGTTTCAACTATTGTTAAACATCTGTCAAGTGTTCTCACAATGAACATGTTTTTTACTTGTACAGCAGTACACATAGGTGAAGGGACTGACTTTGACAGCTTTCCACATAAGTCTACACATACCTTATAAGTCCTTTGCCATGCTTTACCTATTTTAGTCAACATTTTCAAGCATGTTAGTAGTACTATGTAAATTTTTAAGGAGAAGGCATACAATGTTTATTGCAGTGTTCACGAATGGTGTTTCAAAGTAACAGGACATTGGGTCCTGTAAGTTTCAGATGTCTGTCTGACCCATTGAAAATTCACAGGACCCATAGAATAAAATTTAACACACATTACAGATTTAACATTTCTTATAACTGGCATTGAAATTATTAACAAACATACGATTTATAAACAGCAAACAAGTGTCACTTCTCATATATAAGAACTTCAGTCAAAGTCATTGTGAAATATACAGTCAGACACTGGGACCGGCAGGTTGTACAGTTCTATCGGACCGTTGGCGAATCTGCCCGGATTTGTCAGAGGGTCAGGCACTATTCGTGAACACTATTATTGTAACTTTACTGTGTGAAAAAATATGTTTCAACCTAACCAGTGTCCTGGCTCTATGCTTGAGCTCATCCACTTCTCTGGCTACATGACATAACGTGTATGATGTGGGTAACCTTACCAGAACATCATGTCGAACTGATACTCTCTGATCAGGGGACTTCATATCAGCTTGTTTGCTTCACCTTTTGTTATTACATAGGTGGACTGGCAAACATCTGAGACCTGAAGGTTTATTGCTTGGTCAGAGCTACTGAAGCTGCAAACACCATTTTGGCACACAGTATTCAGGTGATCTACCATGTGGGTATCGGGGGCTCAGCGGAGTATACAGGGGTACAAATCATACTTGGTACACAGATCCAACATTTAAAAAAGGAATAACACTGTACATTAAGATTCTATTCATATATTTTATTTTTTCAATATGTTTTACAATAATTTAGCTTCAAATCACACCCTTTTTCACCTGTTCATTTATGTTCCAGAGGTTTTTATCTATGATCTCTTGATTTATAAACCTTGTTCCAATGTAATATTAACCAGATACCCTGGTGTATATGCATAAAATATACATCTTGAACACATCCAGTGAAGTAAATAAGTTGATATTCAGTATGACAGTGACAAGGCAGTCAGCAATATTCCAGTTTTATAACTCTCTATAACCCTTTAATAGGTATGGTATACGAATACCAAGGCTGATATTATCATGAGCAAAGATTCAATGCATCAGAGCCAGGCAGGTCATACATCCTAACCACCGGCAGGTTAGTAGCTCAGACAAGCATATGGAACAAAGAGCCAATTCTGGAATCCCATAGCATGAGTGAGTGAGTGAGTTTTCACATCATTGTCAACGAAATTCTATCAACATCATCACTAGAGATACTTCATATGGGCTTAACTCATTGTACCAATGTTGAAATCGAACCTAGCCCTTCAATGGGACAAGCTAGCACAATAACTACAAGCCTACCCTAACGGTGCCCATTTGAAAGATTTACCTTCCAACAGATACAACATTGTGTATCAATGACAGAGAACATCTAACAATCAATCTGTAGCTGAATTACATGTATTTATGAGCTATAACCATGGATCTAGAAAACAACTTGTACACATATGACCCATTCATTGAAAAGATTACCATAAATGTACCTGAAGCAAATGTCATTTTTCATTTCTTTCAAATCTACTAGCTTTCAATCAACTAGTCTATATGTATGAAATTATTCAAACAATTTATAACTGTGAAATATAGCTAAAACAATCCTGTAATGAATATTCAGATTTACTTCAATGTCATATTTAATACAAACACTAGACCTAGACACATAATCTTCAGACATATGGCAATACAGAAAACACAGCATATATAACCCCATCCTGGCTGTAGTCAGGAATAAATTATGTCCATACCTTCAAGCTTTAGTTTCCTGCTTAGTTTGGCACCTCTGAAATATGTTGAGTTGTGAAATACGTTAGAATCCTTCAGTCTGTTGCACTGGATGTCGATCTGTCACAAATGGCGGAAAACTTGACTTCCACCAACGCACCAACGTCAGTCAATTAAACATGGCCGCCATTACAATGAGGCTGAGGTTGCATTCAATATTCATAGAATGTAGGGAGGCTTGGCAGAAACTGGTTGAATCTATAGCAGATATTGATCCAAGACTATGAGAGAGGGCAGGAGAAACAAGGGAGGTAACTCCTGACCTAATTGCCATCTAGCACTCCCTGAGGCTTTAATCAGTGGCTATTGTGTTCATCAAACACTTCATTTACAATAAGTAATAGTGTTTTGTACTACTTCTATTCAGATATGGTGAGAATCTCACCTGCCACCTTGCCAACAGTGCAGCCTAATGACAGCTTATTCTGACAATGCATAATTTCATGATGAAGAACATGCTCCTTTGACATTTGAATTTTCACTTTCTCCTAGTAGTACTGACACATGTTCAATTACTGTCCAATAAACAATGAGGGAGCTACAGCCATGTGTTTGAATCATACAACTTTCATTACTTAAGGACACTGTTTTAAACCTGATAGCTTTTAGTAACCTATGTTAAGTATGCTAACCTACATATCCATTATGTGAATTTTTTCAACATTTTAAGTAAACATAACTACATATGGTTTGCAACTGTCTGCCCTACAATTGCAATACAGTGATAGGAAGTTAAACATGACAGTAGTATTGTTCATAGTAACATTCAAATTTTCAACAGTCACCATTACTTTCAAATACATGTATAACAAAACTTACATTTTAGGGTTAAATTTAAGAATTGTAGCATGTGAATTTGCAAAGATTACATACATGTCATATTAGAGTTATTTCTCTTTGGTTTCATTAATGACAGGGAGGAAACAGTCAGCACAATTTAATTCATTTCTATCACATTGACTTATAAATATTAATCCACATGTCGGGTTTATACTATCACAAAACTATTGCATGAGTTGAAAACTATTGCAATACTATTACAATGGAGTAGGTTAATGCTGCAAAACAATGACCACAGTGAAAGCAGCTCTGATAGTCAACCCTAGCATTCCTAATCCTCCAATCCACCATACATGTCTGAAGAGAGAAGCCACATGCTCTGCCCTGAGCACAAGCCCTGACCTTCAGTTTGCAAGTAAGCTTCTTTCTTTATTATCCTCATTTGGTAAAACCTTCCAAACCTAAATCCTGAATAATATTTTTCAAAGAGAATGTCATCCCTGATGTGAAGCTAGACTTCCTCCTACGTCACTAAGACTCTTATATAAAACAACAATCTCATACCATAATGCTCCTGTACAAAACATGTCAACTACGGTCTTGCAAGCAGTATAATCAACTCTATTCCTGTCTGTATAATGATGGCCAACTTTAGACCTTGCTTTCTTCTATATCCGTGTTACATCCATGGTTAAATTAGGACACATGAAGTTTTTATTCTACATCCAATGTTAAATAAATGTACCTGGGGTCCAGCACCTGCCTCATTACAAGAAAATCAATGAAAAACACCACCTCATCAATCCTGATCACTTTAGAAATAGTCAAACAGAACGCAGCTTACCATTATGCCTTAGGGTATAAAATTTGTATAATCATGATGGAAAGCAGGTTTCTGATCAAAAGCCACTTTTGACAATATGAACCATCACTAGCTACATTATAGTAGTACATTAGGACATAACATGATACAAATCACAGCACGAAGTTCCTAGGAAAACATTACACTCTCACCCATCCATACAAAGCAATCCACACCATGTAAAACAACAGTAACATTTTTCTTCCTGAAATACTGATAACATCTAAGAAACCTAAAATTCTACCAGCCTTTGGTAAACCTTTAACAAGAGATGGTATTAGGAAGCAAGTGCAAATATCTATCCTGTAAACTTAGAGACATTTCCTCTGTGAAACAGATCACTTTTTCTATCACTTTCCAAGTAAGTGCGCAGAACACCGACTTATTTGCACCTGGAAACCAGCTGCATGAATGCATCTGACACATGACTTGTTAAAAAATACCGCTGATACCTGGGTAGCAATTGTTCCAACAAAAAGTCAAGGCCAACCACTCCCATCAGTTTGCAGACAAACTGGATATATTACATACTCAGATTTATATATCACATTCATAAATAATACCTTTACTCTTTAAACTATTGCTGAGAGCAGCATTAAATAACAAACCAACAACATTTGGTAGGGAAAGGGAGGTTTTGATAGTGATGTCAATAGATTTGAAATAGACATTGTCAATAAATAAGTTCAAGGGTTGTGTGACTTGAAATGTCAAACAACGTCACTGGATTACAAAAAACACCAATTTGACTACGTTTCTGACATTTTGTTTAGTGTCCTGTTATGGAAAAATTAAGAGTTACATGTTGAAAAGATCATCAGATTCCTCATAATCTTGACTACTCTCTAATTACATTTCTATTCACAACCACCACTTTGTCAAATAATATAACAAAAAGATTCAGACATTCCAGCAATATGTTACAGAATAAGTATTTTGAGAGTGTTCATTTCCTGCTGACTAACTAATACACATTTGGTAACTGAAGCAACAACATTTAAAACTTACTCAACCAAAATAATATATAAGAAACAGGTGAAACTACACAATGACTACCTAAGTCATTCATTCTAAAGTATGGTTTTATGTCCAACACTTCACCAGATCAATATAGGACAATGTGTTTATACGAAGCAGATCAATTCCTCTATCAATAGTATATTCTCACTGCCTTGTCACATTTAGCTTGTGTCCTGGAGTGACTAGTTCCCAACTTGTTCGTCAATACTCCCACTCAGCCCCCACAAATACATCAGTGTTCATTGGACTCTTCCCACAATGGTGAGGATAGGCGTCAACTCTATTTACGAGCAAATGGCGATGATGACTATAGTCCTATCATTCTCAAAGACTTGAGAGAATTGTAATACAGTTCACACTAACAGATGAAAAATACACTCTACTAGATTCTGAATAGAATGCTATTTCAGCATGGAACAGATATACATTAAACTTCAAATAAAACAAAGGGAAAGGTTTCAGCTATACTACTGCTTGATAATATAGTTAATGGTTTGATTTTATCAGCATGCCAGTTTCATGAAGGAAGACAAACAAAAGAGACAACTCTGGCATTAAAACCATAAGCAGATCCATGCATGATTAAGGGATGCAACCCTTCAATCAAATTACATGGTTTAAGAAATCGAGATCAACCTTGTCAACAGATCTTGCATGTATATAAACAATAGTAAATGTTCAGTGGGGTCACCAAGCCTGACAACCCTATCAATTTTATCACATCTTGCAAAATGAAATCTAACCTGAAATCCCAACAGAGTTTTCATAAAGCAATATTTCTGTCCAGAAATAGAGCAAAACTATTATTTCTTGAGCCAGTGATATGTCAACATTTCTGTACGAATGAGGTTGAGATCCTATCAGCTAATCAATGTTAGGTCCGTATCTAATATTAGTTGTAATAAGGACTAATCAATCATGTATATATTTGATATTCATGCACTTCCATTTACTCTGGTGGAATAAATCTATATAAATGCTCCTAACCATGATAATGGCCCTATAAAATGTTCCAGAAAACAGACATGAATGAGCATGACAAAATGTATAGAACATGTCTGATGTCCTTGCTGGACTGAAAGTGAAATGATATGACTGGAGGAAACAACATTGGTAGAATGATTAAACAGCAATCTATTAACAATTAAAGTCTTTGGTAAAAGCAACTATCAATGTCATAATCATATACATCTTTCTAAAGTCACAGGTTTCATAAACTTTATGAATAAAAACAACTGATTATTAATTCTGTGACCTCATCAAAATGCTAATCCATTTTTATCGCAAAATTAGCTAAAGAAGTTTGAACAGCTTATACTTTTACAATATGTTTGTCATTATACTGCTTTTTCAGTATCATAGTGATCTTCATAATTCTCACAGGTCCTTCTCCCTGAAACAAGACCAGCCCATTAGCCAGGACTGACTGACTGACTGACTGACTGAGTTTGGTTTTACGCCGCTTTTAGCAATATTCCAGCAACATCACGGCGGGGGACACCAGAAATGGGCTTCACACATTGTACCCATGTGGGGATTCGAACCCAGGTCTTCGGCGTGACGAGCCAACGCTTTAACCATTAGGCTACCCCACCGCCCCCATTAGCCAGGACTGCCTAACTGGAGGACCATCTGCCAGAACATAAGGCAGGTCAAGCTGATCTGAGGTGTGTCAGCTAGTAGTCTAATCTGAGGTGTATCAGCTAGTACTGCCTAATATGAGGAGTGTCAGCTAGTACTGTCTAATTTGAGGAATGTCAGCTAGTACTGTCTAATCTGAGGTGTGTCAGCTAGTACTGTCTAATCTGAGGTGTGTCAGCTAGTACTGTCTAATATGAGGTGTGTCAGCTAGTACTGTCTAATCTGAGGTGTGTCAGCTAGTACTGTCTAATCTGAGGTGTGTCAGCTAGTACTGTCTAATCTGAGGTGTGTCAGCTAGTACTGTCTAATATGAGGTGTGTCAGCTAGTACTGCCTAATCTGAGGTGTGTCAGCTAGTACTGCCTAATCTGAGGTGTGTCAGCTAGTACTGTCTAATCTGAGGTGTGTCAGCTAGTACTGTCTAATCTGAGGTGTGTCAGCTAGTACTGCCTAATATGAGGTGTGTCAGCTAGTACTGCCTAATATGAGGTGTGTCAGCTAGTACTGTCTAATCTGAGGTGTGTCAGCTAGTACTGTCTAATATGAGGTGTGTCAGCTAGTACTGTCTAATATGAGGAGTGTCAGCTAGTACTGTCTAATATGAGGAGTGTCAGCTAGTGTCAGCTAATAGTGAGGTCACTGTCTAATATGAGGGTGTCAGCTAGTACTGCCTAATCTGAGTAGCTGTACTGTCTAATCTGAGGTGTGTCAGCTAGTACTGTCTAATATGAGGAGTGTCAGCTAGTACCGTGCTGCCTAATAGTACTGTCTAATCTGGTGTGTCAGCTAGTACTGTCTAATCTGAGGAGTGGTGTGTCAGCTAGTACTGTCTAATCTGAGGTGT